CTAATTAAAAAGCAGTTTCAAATATCACATTGTGAACTAGTAAAAGACATTCCTCAGTCATTCCCCATTCATTGACTCTTCCTGGTTTCAGGTTATACAACTTAATAATAATATTAGTCTCACAGGGAAATTGCTTACTTAAAGAACCAGAAAAAATTTATTTCCTTTTATAGCAGTAGACTGAAAAATCTGCAGTGAAAAAAAAAAAAAAAAATAAAAAAAAAAAAAAAAAAAAAAAAAAAAAAAAAAAAAAAAAAAAAAAAAAAAAAAAAAAAAAAAAAAAAAAAAGGCTGAGCAAAATATTCTCTCATTTCAGTGTTTAATTGACAAGTGCAAACATAAGGCTCTCATTCTGCAAGATGTGTGCATCATTCCATGAAAATCAATTCACACATGTAGGCAACAAGCAGTAAAAAGGCAGCGCTGAGTGCCAACATTGTGCTGTGAGTTTTAAACTAGTGAAGAAAAATAACAACAAAAAAGAAGACTCAAGAGATAAAATATTCAATTTGAATCACATGTACTTTGATGGTGCTGCAGGCCCTGCCACTGCCTCAAAGAAGTTCTTGCATATATTCCTCTGTGCATGACTTTTCCTCTCTACACAGAGCACAGTGCAATGGAAACATCCATTCTTCCTTTGGGCCAGACCTCAGCACTGAAAATTTGTCACACGAGCGTTGCTATTTTTATGCACAAATGGCTTTTCACCAGGTGAGTTATTTCAGTAAACATTCATAAATAAGGTGACTTACATTAATCTCTGCTAGACTAGTGCTAGTTTTCCTTCATGGGGGAGTGGATGTGCTTTCAGACACTTTTTTTATTTTTAGGTGGGAGAAGATACAACTGCAGTAAGCAGCTTCAAGAGTCAGAATAATTTGGGCAGGTCCTAAGGCATCTAGGACAGAGTGGTTCCTAAGCTATGGCATGATGACACTAACTATTTGCTCTATAGGAAGGCCATTCACCTACATCTTCAAAATGGACCTCTGTGGACTAGGTGGGATGCATAAGCTTCAGATGCTGGTAGCTACAATGCTTTCCCAAATAAATGGATTTTACAGGCTGAGCGTTAGAGGTTGAGTCATCTAAAGTCAACCATTCCCAGATCACACAAAGGTTGTTGAGCTACCAATGAATAACATGCATATTTCATCTTTAACTTGCTGCCATTTTATAAACCACTCCCTTTGGATTTTTATCAGGAAGAAATAAATTAGGAAAATATTCATTTTTCCAGAGCAGACAGGTCTTGGAACTTCTCCCATAGCAAATTTCAAGGAATGTAGTAGTCTTTTCAACACCTTACAAATTTTTTTCAATGTTGAAATGACTTAAAAGCTCAGCTTTTGGCAAGCTCAGCTCCTACTACGCTATGCAGAGACGTGAATTTCAGCATGATCTTGGCTCCAAGCTTTTTTTCTGTTCTATTTTCCTTTTTTTCACCTCAAATTTTGCTTCAGCTCAGAATGAAGGCAGTTTTTAAAAAATGCAATAATGTTGCAGCTTGAAGCAAACCAAAATGGGATGAATCTTCAAGCATCAAGGAAATGCTCAGTGACATCTTAAAATGTCTGCTGCTTTGAAATGCCCCACACAAAACAGGAAATTCCACTTTGGCTCTACTACTACAAGAAAACCACTTTGGCTTCCTGTTAACAGAAAGACATGTTCATATAATTGAACTCAACTGAAGCCCACACTTGGTTACACTTGGTTACAATTGGCTGCTTTTCTATGACTAAACAAACAAAAGAGTAAAAAAAAGGCCAAAGCCCAAAACCCAATCACAGTACATGGAGCTCCCTTCATAAACAATGCTTTCATGGGCTCCTTTCCTACTCAAAAAGTTTAAAAATACAGGTTTTCATATTAAATCTGTAATAGATATGTAAGTTTACAGGCTGACACAATAATGGGTGTTACACATCCATAATTTTTCTAAGTTAGAAATAATTTTAAATTCTGAATTTCCACACAGTTTTAAATCAAATACCATGTTCTTTCTTCCCCTCCCTCCTTGACTGTCCCACACCAACCCTTTTCTCTCAATATGATGATTTCCTCCAAAATTCAAATTATTTGCAAAAAAGAGTAGTAGCACATTATTTATTCCTATTATTCCTGGTATCATTTAGGGTAGAGTTAATTTCTGCTTCAGTAACTGTTACAGTGCTGTGTTTTTGATTCAGTATGAGAAGGGTATTGATAACACACTTGTGTTTTGTTTTTAGCTAAGCCATGCTTATCCTGTCAAGGATATTTTTCCTTGTCTCATGCTCTGCCAGTGAGGAAATTCACAAAAACCAAACTGGCAGGGAGCATAGCTGGGACAGGGGACTCAAACTGACCAAAGGGATATTCCACACCACAGAACATCATGCCAGGTATATAAACCAGGGGGAGCTACCTGGGACGGGGACCTGATCTGGGTTTGGAAAGAGGGGTCTGGTAGGTCAGTGAGTGGTGAGCAATTACATTGTACATCACTTGCTTGGGTTTCTCTCCTTTTTATTATCATTATTATTATTTACCATTACTGTTGTATTTTACTTTATTATAAATTATAAAACCTCTTTTGTCTCAACATACAAGTTTAACTTCAATTCTGCTCCCCATTACACGTTGATGGGGAAGGAAAAGAGAGTGAGGCTGAGCAAGCAACTGCATGGTGTTTCATCTCCAGCTGCACTTAAGACCATGGCAAGGTGAAACCCTAGTATTGATTGATTCATCAGAGCTAGATGTAAAAATATTCACAATCCCCACATGAAATCTCTTCCATCATAGGAAAGGAAATGTGATTCCCACTTCATTCTGGTATCCCATAAGGTGTACACCACCAGAACAGAGAGATTCAATTTCCAGAAAATTTGCAGAAACAGTTGAAATTAGATATTGTTACCAGGAATTCCAAAACCTCCATGGCTGGACTTGCACCAACTGGCTTTACTGACAGAGGAAAAATTGTGCATGTGCACATATCCACACACACATACTTTCTCCCAAAAAAGTGTGTAAAAGCTTTCCCTTGAGGCAGATGGTTAAAGACTTCTTGACATTCACACACTAGGGATGCACAGCTCCCTATTCTATGAGCCAATAGTGCAGGTCTTCCAAATCCAGACCAAGAAATACCAGTTACTCCAAGCATCACTGAGCAGAGCACAGCCTTGTCCAAATTTCTCCTGCTGAGGTGGCTCCCCGCTGTAGCTGTCAGCTTGTGCATAATTCTGTCTCTGATTATGGCTTTCACGCTGCTGGGCAGCCCCTTGTGATAAACCCAGGCAAAAACTGTCACGGTAATTAGCAATGCCAGAAAATTAATCCTGTTTCACTGCAATTTTCACTTTGCATTTTCCACGCTTTCCATTATTTTGAGTCTAAGTAGTAGCTGAAGAGAGTGGAGTCAGATTTCCTGTAGAGTACTTGCATATAACCCATACATTTGTTTTCCTGAACAAAGAAATTTATTAAAGTTATAACTGGGATTAAAGTAACCCCATTCAAGAATTTTCTGTTCTTTTTTAAGCAATGATAGAGCCCATGCTCAGTAGGTCTCCAAAACCTCAATAGTTCAACAATAAGTATCTACTGACCATCTGAAAGAGAGTAATTTAAAAGCAATTTCAGGCTATGTAATCTGTCAAAACCAATAGTGGAGTATGGGCAGTTTGGGAAAGCTGTTTTGTCTACGCTTACACAAGTGCAGTGTGAACAGAGCCAAGACAGCATATACAGGCCACATAGGCTTTTCATTGCATACAGCAAATCTACTTCAGCAAATGGAGTTGACTCAGACTTTGCTCAGAGCTGCAAGGCACTGACTTGTCTGGCCCAGCTCAACAGGCCACTTAAGCATGTGCTTCTTTTCAGCATCTAAGTGAAGATTCTTTTGAAGGAAAATGGTATTTATGTGCTTTGTTTCATGAGAAACTCACATGTGTGATAGAAAATGTGCATGCAATTTGACCTCCAATATTTATCCATTACTTAGCACCAAATAGTTAAAAATTAAACGGACCAAGCAGATTAATCCCTACACTCCTACTTTTCAGGGTGCTCTCAGCAGTTAATTGACAACATTTCAATGGGAATGCTGAAAAAATTATAAAAAAAAACCAAGAAAAAAAAAAAAACCATAAAAAAAAGAGAAGAACAAAAAAGCAGCCTAAAAATGGACACCATTTTTAAGATGTAATTACTCCAAACCAAATTTGACCAGGTATTTAGCTTGCTTGACTTCTAGTTAGAATTAGTGAAGTGATAAAATCTCCATTCATATTATGATTTCCTGAAAAGAACAGATTTTAAACCATCCAGGGTTTTGTGTCTGCTTCCTCATTTAATCTTTTTCATCTATTTCCTTGCCTCTACTTTAAAAGAAAAGCTGCTGAGTATTAAAAATGTAATATCAACAGTCAAACAAATCACTACACAGGTGGAAAAGATTTCATATGTTCCCACTAACACCATTATCTTTTGTTTTCTCAATCAAACTATGATAAAACATAAAATGTATAAAGAGAGATTAATATGGCTGCCTCTCTATAGTGTATTTTGCTTTAACATATAACTGCATTGAAAACTAATGACAAGAATATCTTCATGAAATAGCAACAGAAGTGCCAATTGTCACAGTTCCTGTAGTGACATTAATTTGGGAATGGTAGACTAATTCTTGCTTTTCAAAATTCAGCACTCTGCAAAATTCCTTATACTGCAGAAGAGAGGAAGGCAAAAGCCCAAAACCTTGTACTGAGGAAAATGAAGCCAAAAAATCATGATCCTGCAGCAATGGTTCTTATTTTCTTCCCCCAAGGGGAAATCTTGAAACTCTCTAGTAAACTTTTCCAGGCTCTAAGTTGTACATATTTTCTTCATCTAAAACTTAAAGCTAAAAAAGCAGAAGAAAGAGTCACAGCATATGCCTCAGGGCAGTCTCAGCTGCAGAGCCATTACTGTGATCTATAATGGAACACAAAATAAAGAGGCATTTCAAGTCAATCTGTAAGCACTTGCAGCAGGGTGGGCTTGGTCCACATGTGCCTATTTACATTAGGAAATTTAGCATATATAAATATATAAATAAAATGTCTATACAGTACATAATCACATTCATATAAGTCATAAAATTACATATATTTACAAAAATATTTGCAGCTTTTTTTATACTTCCAGGTCCACATTAGGAGTTTAGTCATTTAGCTTCTGGCTTGAGAATATGATCACTTTCCTTAAGTCTGAGATGAACTTGTACCTTATATACTTCCAATTGTCAAAAATAAGAAAGAAGACCATAATCTTCCAAGTCCATAGGAAAAGTTGAATCTTGTCTCCCTGAAGAGTAAATAACTTGTTAGCAAAAACTTGAAGACCGCTTCTTCATGTAGAAAGACAGTACCTTCTTGGTCTGGACCATAAATAAATTTGAAACTCATAAAACATCAGACAGAGCCCAAACTGGGTGTCTGGCAGCTGTCTACAGTAACAACTCATACATAATCTCTTCCTTTTGTCTCTGTTTAAGCTGGTTGAGTGGTAAAAGTAAATGGGTATGGAGATGAAAATATATACATCAGGTTACCTTAGAGAGTAAAAAGGTAAAGTAGACTACATCCTGTTTGGATCAGTGTAGCTTCATTTCAAGGTAAGCTGTATGGTTAAAACAATCCCAAGGATTTCATACTTATACAGTACATATTACATATGTATCCTCCAGTTCTGTATCCTCCAGAAGCTGGACACTTATAATTTTCTTCTCCAAAAACTGAAAAACGTTTCTTTGATGCTTTATTAGTCTTCTTATGTATGCAAGCCACATTCAGGCGTGCTTTTTTGGGCAATTTGGGCAAGTTTGGAGAAATTGCCCATTTGACATTAAATGAGTTCTGCAAGAGCATTTAAAACTTTGGAGAATGGGTTGCTTTCCTTTTGAAGCACTCTTGTGAAAAACAAACCTCAAGATACAGCAGCTTAAATTGCTTGTACGTGAAGACCTGTGGAGAAAAGTCTTGCCATGTGCCATTGATCAAATCACACTTTCAGTGACTGGCTGTGGAGTCATCTCTTGCTCTTCACTATTCTCTGCAGACATGTCCTGGACCTCCTGCTGCTGATATATATCTTGGACCAGCATGATGTTTGTGCTCCTCCACTCTCTGTACTTCACTGCTGTCAACTTTGGATCCTCTAGCAACTGGTTAATTGTGGCCAGGTCATGTTCCTTACACTAGGAAGAGAACAAGTGGTTACTTCCACAGAAAATTTCAAGACAATTGTCCCTAACAAAAACACTCTGGGAACATTAGACTCACGTCACAAGAAGACAGCCAATTACCCATCCTCCTGGCAGCTTGTTCCCATTTTTAGAGTGTAGGTCATCAAAGTTAAAGGCAAGTTATGATTTCATCTAGATATTTTATAGCCTTCTTAACAAAACTTAATGAGAGAAGATTCATGTGAAAATTACACATTGTTATGCTGTATCTCAACTAGACAGTACTTGCATGAAACAAGACATAACAGCATTTACTTTTGTAATTCACAGGAGTTCTAACTTTCTCAAAAAACATTTATTCCATGTAATAAATGTCTCTTCTCTGGGAATTGGACTGAACATAATTTTTAATATAATTCATGTACTGGCAGTACATGGCTACAGTACCTGTGTCTGCCATCTACCACCAGCTACTGCTAATAAATCTGGTATCTACTTTAGGCAAGAGCAGCTCAGACCATATATTGCAGGCACCCTGGTTCATTTGTAAGATGTAAGCAGACTGATGCAGGGACACTGAGACTTTGTATGTCACAGAACTACAGAATCGTTGAACTTGGAAGGGACGTCTGGAAGTCATTTGGTCCAAAACCCTTCCTCAAACAGAGCCACCTACTGCAGGCTGCCTAGGACTGTGTGCAGATAACTCTTGAATATCTCCAAGGATAGAGACTCAACAGCTTCCCTGGACAATCTTTACTTGGTCACCCTCACAGTGTTTCTTGCTGTCCAGGGGAAACCTCCTGTGTTTCAGTTTGAACCCACCACTTCTGGCCCTGTCACTGGGCACCACTGAAAATAGCCTGGCTCTGTCTTCATTACACTCTCTTTTCACACACTGATGTTCTTTGATGTCCTCACGTGTTGTGGCACAACAAACCATTTTGCTTTTCCAGCTCATATTGTTTATCCATGCAGTGGACTACAGGATAGAGAAGCCCCAGTTAGCAGGTATCATTTATTAATGGGGGCACCATGCTGCACTAACAAAATGTGGCTACTTTTGCCAGGTTCCCTCACTTCAGTCTCTGCATGAAAGCAATGGAATAGTTCTAACCATCTTCTCCTGCTGCCACCCATTTATCATACCCAAGTCTTGGAATCTGTGGTGTTGGTGATTCCGAGATTGTAAAAAGTCTCTGTCTTTCTGCCCCGTTGCCAAAGAAGAAGTCATAATTCATCTGTGCTGGTTTTCAAGGTTGTTTATTCTTGCTTATCTCTAACATGTTCTGCTGCCCTGCCGCAGCTCTGTCCTGCAGGGCAGCGTGTGGGGCTCTGCCCCTCAGTGGGATGTTACAAACATTAAATACCAGAAACTACCTGTGCTGTATTTACAATAATGTGCCAATATCTATCATCTACGTTGAACAGTGTGTCCCAGCCTAAACCAATAGAAAAATGCCAACACTACAGTGAAACATGGAGGGCATGAAGAAGGAGAAAAAGGACAAGACACACCCAATTTCTTCCATCTTGTTCCCTTTGAACCCCTAATCTAGAATCCTAAAATTTTACCTTTGCACCCGTGCCACACTTAATTATTACTTATATCAAACACTCAGAGCTTGTAATTCATCCTGTAAGATTGAAAACTCTTTTCCATGGACAGAGATCAGAGACAGTGTCCCTCGGGGCTCTGTACAGGGGGTTCCTGACCCCCTGCCAGGGTCCCAGGCCTTCCAGGGCAGCCAGATGGAAGCTCTGGATTCCCACACCCAAGGACACCCTGTGCTGGTGGCTGCCTTGAAAACACCTTGAAAGTGCTCCCACACATTTGTTTCACCTTCTGATAGCCTTAATCAGCTGTTTCTACATCTGTATCCCACTGAAACTCTGGTGAACCTTCAACTGCTCCAATTTCTGTCATGCCTTAATTGCTTTTGAAACCCAAAATCTCGTTCAACTGTATTTTACACAGGTCCTACCCTCAAGACACAGTGCCAGTCTTTTTAAGAAGACTTCTGGCATCGATGCAGGGATATGTGCAGTTAGCTTAAAAGAAAAAGAGAGAAGATAGGGAGGTGGAAGGGAGAGGAATATTTCTACTGGACAAGCTTGGCAGCAAAAAGTCAGGCAATGGAATTTCTCCTGTAGTACTAAAACTATTTCCCACGTTCACTAAGACTGTGATGCATTTGCACATAGATTCTCTCTCTTCCAAAGTATTCAAAGCATGTTTTGTTAATGATATATTGTGGCAGCAACATTAATCTGTTGTTATATATGTGTAGTCAAAAGTCTAAAATTAAAATTGCATTGAGTCTTGTATAAATAACTTCTCAAACGAATAGGGTTTTAATTAAAGTAGAATACATATGGATGTAAAAAATCCTGATTTTTGAAATTTCCAGTACATCATTTCCAATTATCTTATGTCTTATATTATACATTAAGAAAATTGACTCTAAAAGCACATAATTCTACTGATTTAATTAAAATGGCACTTTCCCACTGCAGGCACTTGACTTTCAGACAGGCTAACTTAAATATTGCTGTGTACAGAACTCTGTTTGCGTCTATAAGAAAGTGTCTGTGCTTTTTTTGTTTGTCTTGTCAATACTCCAGTTTCTTATTTTGAAGAAAGGAAAAACAAACAAATAAACAAACAAACCCCAAAACCCACCAAATCCCCAAAAACAAATGAAACCCAAAATGAAACAAAAACCAAACAATAAAACCCCAAAGAGATCAACACATTTTATATGCTATGAACACTCCAAAACTTATTTTTCCATAGACAAGCCTAAGTTAATCATGATTTATTTAATACTCCCATGCTAAATCAATGCACCGTTGTCCTCCTTGCTCATGCCTGACATTAAGGCTTCCATTCAGCTCCATACTAATGAAAGCTTCTGTCCCACAAAATACAATTCCATTTTGCACTAACTAGTTCTTATATTTATTAGTGAGGGTCCTGCCAGGGAAAACCTTGCAGAATGTTTCTGTACGTAGCTTCCTATCCTAGGAAGTCGGCATACCTTTTAAACCAACTTTCTGCTATGTGGGGGGATCACTTTACTGCTGATGCAAATGAATACTTTTGTAGTCACAGCCACATCACTGAAAACTCTTTGATACTAAGGAGAGATTTCACCAGATTTCGTATGGAGTCAAGAAGAATGCCTCTCTTTCCAATGCCCTTTACAATTGTACTTTCCAGGAATTTCAATGCAGCCTGAAGTGCCAAACCCAAGCCTTCCATTGCAACTAATAATCAAATCAATGATTGTGCTGGCAGGATAAGTTTTTAGAAACATACAACTGCTAAGGTTGGAAAAGGCCTCTAAATCATCAAGACCAAACGTTTTACATGCATTTCTCCAGCTTACAGTGCCTGAAGCCAAATACATCCTTTTGAAACAAGGTACTCAATTCCTGCTTCTAATGCATAGGAAAAGAAACAAGTGAAGCCCCATGTTTGCATTTATTCCGTCTTCCATATAAATGCTATGGTTGAGCTTTTTGTTCCCCTCAGTACCATTCAGAAGCAGGCTTTGAAATCCCGTGACACTTGATGCTGGCAAGTAAACTGCTTCATAAATTCCCATATTCCAGGCAGATTTACCAGCCCTTTCATGGAACATCTCCTGAACCCCTGTACCCCTCCAGTTCGTGATATGTTTCCAACATAAAAGCAGGATGCTTTTGTTATTAGAAATATTTTAGTTACAGGAGGTCTTTACAATAGCTTTGGCACATCCTGTACATTCTCTAATAATCACATAAGGAAAACTTTTTTTTGGCTCAGGGTCATTTTCATGTGCTTTATCATCAATGTACTTTGTCTGCTCTTCCTTTTTTAAGGCTCCCCTGTTTAGTGCATTCAGCTGAGCTTGCAAGTTTTCCAGTTAACTAAGAGTTTTCTTTATTAAATTTTCCAAATGGACTGGAACTTCTGCAAAAAAAAGTCCCTCCTGAGCTATTACCTCTGCTTCCAGTTCAAGCTGAACAACATAACGCAGATCAGTGTTCACAGTGAAGCAGAAAAAAAGAATTCAAAAACTTAACAAAATTCTCTGGGGCTTTCAGTAAATATGTTATTAGAATTTGGCTGAAATCTATACTGCTTCTTTTTCAGCCAAACTGTCTTTTTCTCTCAAGCTTTTCTTTGGCAAGATCTGCAAACTCACCTTTAATGTACTATTCAGCATTCGAATTTTGTGGAGTTTCTCATTAATGGAGGGGTTTTTGCTGCGCTTGATAAATGATTTCCTAAGCTCCTTCTTAGTTGACAGTCGACGATCACCAATGGGAGACAGGCTTGCTTGCTCCAATGACTTGTAAAGTCGTTCCATCTCATCATCATCATCACATTTTTCTTGGTCTGCAAAGAAAAGAATACATTTGGTATGAGAATGTGAATGTGGCAGCAGATAATAGAAAAGTTATGTTCAGCTATTAGGAAGGCTCTCAACCAACTCAAAAAATAATTGTATTAAAGTTAAAATTAAGGGCAATTAGGGTAATTTCTAGGGTAACAATGCCTATGAGAAAAATATACTTCCAAACTCACATGTTGTTAAGAATCAGGTAATGAGTCAAAAGATGTGAGCCTGTATTCCCACTAATAGAGCACTGCTTTAATGTTCTGAATATATCACAGACTTTGAACAACTGTCAGTAGCTCTATGTTTGAATGAAACAACTCTGATAACATCTACACCCATTCACCTCTCCCTGCATTCTACACACAGTGAATTATTCTTCTACCTGGCAACTCACAGGGCAAATATTCTTTGGTGTGCTGATTCATCACCAGGTTTTGGTAATTATTGAAAACAGAGTTTAAAAAAATAAACAATTAAAGAAACATAGAAATATTTTGGGGGCCTCAAGAGAAGGTCCCTAGAAAACAGATTAAAGCAAGAACCCATGTGGCATCCAATGTCTTGACCCTGAGTTTCACAGATTGCAGCAGAGAATTCGCTTGTAAAGCCTCACAACAAAGCCTTGATTATCTCCACCTTAATTATTCTGCTGGCTCCCAAGCTGCAGGACCAGACAGAGAGTACACTAAAGGAAAAGTGAGTAAAGAGCTGAGAATAGCATAAGATGAAAATTGAAGTAAAGGCATTTCTCAGAATAAAACAACTTAAAAATGAACAGACGGAAACTAAAAATGTGCTGGGCATATGTAGAAGACCATTTTTAGAAACAGACTGTGCAACTCGCTTCTTTTCCTTCAGTCCACACAGCTTCAGTGATCTCTAAAGGAAAATCTTACAACTATTGCTCTTTTCAGGGTTCTAATGAATCCTCAAGATCCACTTTGGATAACACTTGGTTTTATATCACTGGGGGTAGTGGTGTTGGTTCTTCTCAACTGCAGTCCTTCCTATTCCCATTGAATTGGCTGGGCATTTTTTTCTTTTAAAGTTAAACATTTAATTTTCTAAATCATCTGCAGTCAGCAAATATATCCTAAACAAAAGAACAACTCCTTCTGCTCATTACTGCTGCTGTGAAAAGAATTCTGCAATATGTCAGCATGCTAAGGAGGCTGCTTCTTATCTTTTCCATGTTTTATAAAGTACAGCATCCTCCTACATCTCTGTTCTTTCTAAATATTTATGTTTCAAGAAAGGTTTATGATATTCTGCAAATATTTGCCTTCACTGTGTTTCTGGCCTATTCTTCACTACTGTGTGATTATAAAAACCTACTGTAACTTGACAAAAACTAAATATAACTTCCAACACTGGTACATTGCTGGGGGAGGAAAAGGAGAACTGTTGTATATTTAACAAGCTGCAGGAAACAGAAGAAAAAAGTGGAAGTGTAAGGCATAATACACGGCAATAGTATTTCCTGAAAACTGTTGGCACATGCCATGAGGCTTGTAATAACTAGTTTCCTGCCTACTTTCTTGGGATGAAGCAGCTGTTTGTTTCATTAGCCAGCTTCTGCACAGGACTGGCTCCAGTCTGCTGTAGACATCACCCATCAGGACTGTGCACAGTAATACTTTGAGAGATAAATTGATTTTTATCAACTATCCAAAAAGACTGTGTAAGAAGGGGAAAAGTTGCTTCAATAAAGTCAACCCACAGGGCTGACTTTTTTGCAGGCTTGAAGCTTCCAGTGAATGCACTAGATTGATGCTGTAGATCTGAAAGGGGAGAGGTAATGGAGGAACTGAAAAATTCTGATTTAGGGGAAATAAAACAAACCAAAATTCTGAGGCTTGATGCCATTTATCTGGAATTTCCCTCTAACAGGAGGTATCAGAGACAAGAACAACTTCCCAGAGGTTCAACATGCCTATTCTTCACCTCCTCAATTTTCAGCTTCAGCTTTGACAGCCTCCTGTCAGCAAACTTGCCAGAGGCTGGAGACATTAATATATTGAGACTCTTCATCTTGGAGCATCAGTACAAGAGCCTGTCTTAAATATCAACTTTAATGTTCTTTAGGTCTATGTAAGTGAAATTATCCAGAACTTTCAAAAAGCAGCTGTGAAAAATAAAGTTAATGGTTTCCCAGTAGTAAAGATAAAGAAATTGCAAATGTTTGGGGACAGAACATTTTGCATTGAAAACCACCTCTAACAGAATGTATCTGACTAAATTTATCTGAAATGTAAATATTTGTTCTCCCATTCTGCAACTGAGATCTCACAGACCCCCAGTTGTGTATTAATCCCAGGGAAAAAAACACTGCTTCTTCCTCCTGTTCTTGCTACTCTTATGAGCGTCTTGTAGCTTTGCCAGCACCTCTGTTTTTGATACTGTTAAAATTTTTTATGCCATTTGAGAGAACACATATACCCCAGGCTAAAAAGAGCAGAGGGGAAAAAGTCATAGATGATTTTTGCCCCTACCTACCTATCCATTCCCTAGCCCTTCTCTATAGCAGTACTAGACTTTTCAGGGAATATGAAGTCACCTCAGGGAAATCATATTTCCTGCATAATTATGGAACAAAAAATATAGAAAAAAAAATTCAATTAGTTGAGCATAACTCAGGCAAATTTCTCACTGGCAAATGCAGAACTAAAGGAGGAAAATCTGAAGGAAATAACAGGAAAACTACGATACCACAATTAGTCTGACAGTATAGTGGACTCAGCAGTGAGGGGCAGAATTTTAATAAACTGAATTGGAAACAACATAAATAAGTATCTCTTTTTCAGAGGGTTCAGAAAACCATAGCACAATAGCTTTCACAGTGATTTCTAAAGCTTTTTTGATGAGAAACAATATAATTATTGAAGTTGCTTCTCCACACAGTTATTCTCACCATAGGTACATTTTTCAGCTAGTCTCAGCCATGATCTAGCTATTTTCTATAACTTTTGCAGAAGGAACAAAGGGGCCAGAGCACACCAGGGGATCTGTTCTGGCTATTACTGGCACAGGCAGACTCCAGAGAGGAAGAGGATGTCAGTTGTGAGAGCAGAAGGAATCAAATTAATCCAGCTCCTACTTAACCAATTGTTTCCCAAAAAAAACAACCTAGATAAAATCCAAGAGGTACTTGAAAAGTTGTCCGGGTTTGAAAATATCAGCACACAACAGATTTTTCACAGCTACAGTGAGCTAAGGTAAAATAAACCAGAAGTGGTAAAACAGGAATGCCGTGTCAAGATGCATTAACTTCATATGATCATGAAACTCTCAGAAAATGCAGGGAACAAGGATCTTACTGCCATAGTAGTAGACCCCTAAATAAATAGAAACACACATTCCTATTTTCTTGTATAACCTCTCAGTTCCTGTGGCTTCCTTTAGCTGTTGTGGTTTCTGATCATAACAGTGGTGTGTCAGAGTCATATACTTTTTCTTCCAGTGGTTGCCAGAAGAAATACAAAGGATGGGGTTTGGTTGGAGAGCATGTCTAGCCATCCCAGAGAGGGCAAGCCAGATTTTGGATACAGCACACGTAGTCAGACAGCTGTTTGTATTCTCAGCTGTTTCTTGTTTACCTTTCAGTTTCTTTGCATTACAGGCAGCTTAGAATCCTTTGCCCCTGTGCATGTAGCAAGATGCATCACCAAAGTCTTAAATATTCCCAAAATGTAAATGGATGAATAATGTTGGTCTCCTTTCAAAAGAGAAAACTGATTAGCTCCCCTTCTTTGTATCAGTCTCTGGTATGTAACATCTCCCCAGTAACTGGTGCAGAGAATTAATGTTGACAATGTTCGTAACGCCACTAAGAATGGTTGGAAAGTTTGTTAAAAATATCATATGTTATGGCTCCTTGCACCAGACACTCACAGTTGCTTAGCAGAATTCATAAAATAATCTCTGTTGAGAAAATAATCCATCATCATTTGATTGAATCTGTAGCTTTTCTTATGGAGATGCATTAATTTATTTCTGAAAAATGTTTCTTTCATTGTTTAACTCATTACTAAGGTTTCTTCACTGTTTTCATACTTTTTCATGGTAAGCTCTTCCCACAAAACCACAGCTACTCTTTCTTCCTTTTAGGTACCAACTTTTCTCACATTAGTCTCCATACCTAGACTTTGTCTGGCAAAAGTGCTCACTAGTTCTAGAAAATTTTAACCTCAACTCTAGGCTCTTATCAGCTGCAACCAAAAATTCAACTTGTGCATTTACCTTGAAGAATGTGACCAGAAAACAGTGTGGCAGGGGATTTTTTATCCACACCAGGAGAAAGAGAGAGCACAGATACAGCCCATAGGTTCTGTGGGAGATTGAGATCAAAGGCTATCAAAGAACATAGCTGTTCTGATGAAAACAGGACCATCTTTAAACACAGGGAACATGTGCTTTCAGGACAAATGTGGACAAAAGACAGACTTGTCTCCTCCTAGATGCAGTCTCATAACTATGAAACATGTCAGAAATGCATTATTCTGAAGCACTGTAAAGCAAATAATACCGACTGCACTGAAGTATGCCTTCTTGTTTTGCGTCAGATAACAAGGGTGTTCTCACCAGTTATTGCAAATCAGGAGAATTTGCAGCTAGATTTTACCCAACAACTTGAATTAATATCATTCATGCATGTATTTATGCACATGCATATCAACTAGCTGGAGAGGGAAATTTTGTGGGGGATAAATCACAGAACCAGAACTGCATCCTTTTTGATAATTTTCATTTGGAACTGAAATATTATTTTACATTAATCCTTCTTTTCCTGCTTCATGCTCAAATTGAAGTAGCTTAATCTCCTTGAAAAATATTTCCGTAAAGTTTTCAGTGACCATTGCAGGGGAGGGCCCCACACAGCAGCACTCTCCATACCCAGCCCATAATATGCAGACTGATAAAGGGAAGAGAGAGCTGTGTACGTTTACTTGGTCAGCAGTGGGTTATGATGCAGAAAAGAACTAGTGAGGTTATACAGTTTCCATAGTGACTGTCTTGGTGAAATGATTTATTTCTGGAATTCTGTCAGCAATCACCAGTGTGGTTAGGATGGAAGTGTTCTGTGTTCTGCCATCAGGGTTGCCCACCAGCTAAGCAGTGAGCAACAGAAGAATTCATTTCCCCAGGAATAATCTAATAAAAATTGAACCATCTTGCACACTGCAGGAGCATACCAAAATATGCCTTGATTTACATTTTATTCCCATTTAATTGGTTAGTATGATTGAGTCTATCAAACTATACTTTAAGTGATTATGAATGTGTCATGCCCATTCTATGACATCCATAAAAGTATTTGTCACCCTTATATTAAAATGGAAAGCAAAAACCTATGCATCATTGCAGGATTTCTGACAATACCAGAGGAATATATTCTGACCAAAAGTTTAGATTTCTGAAGAGCAACCACTGAATCTTTGTCAACAGGATCTATAAGCCACTATGCCATTTATGACCTACATTCCAACAATCCACTTGAATATCCCTAATGATGTTTTCCAAAGACATTACTTTCTCAAATTTAACCTAGAAGGTAAAATTACAGAAAACAATATATTTAATATGTCTTTGTGACTTTTTCATTGGGGACTCCATTTCTGCCAGCTCCAGCCTTTCCACAACTTGCAAAGCCAGAATTAGGGGAATTAGATTCCACAGCAACTCAAAGCACAGCACTCTTTTCCAATACAGAGAAAGAGCACATATGCTCACTCTGGATTTTAATTCTTCCTCATCTTCATCGCTGCAGAATTTTCTGGCAGAGATGCCTACAAAATGGATAAAGTAGGTGAGCATAAAACACTGAGTTAATTTTCACTTTTGATGAAAACCTTACTCAATGTCTTTTTTTTTTCAATGTAAAATCAGAAAATATATGACTACAAAAAGGGGTGCCAGCTTTGTAAGTGTTGATATTTGTAAAAATTTGTAAAACATAGGGGGACAGACCAGGTAACCAATGTGCCTCATAGTATCATCTTTCAGTATCAAGTTCACCTACAGAGAAATACCCTAATTTCCTGACAACTCCAGCATTGTTTCTTTCCACCACTGCATTACTTTCAGCCTAAGCTCTTAGATGCACCTTTCTGTTGCATTGTGCCAAGATATCCCTTCTCTTTCAGCAACAGAATAGTCACTTCAAATCTTTACAAGGATTTGGAATCATGGGAAGAACTGAGGCACAGGAATGTTGTTGTTCCCTTATGTATTACCCATCTACACAGAACTGTATGCCAGGAACAACTCTTAGGCTTCAACTGCTTTTAATTCAGAAAGAAGAAGCTTTGCTCAAAAAGCAGGAGATATTTCGTCTCTACACAGGAGAGTTACGAACAGTAACAATGACCAAATTCTGGAACCATACCATGCTTTTCAATTAACAGTACATTTCAATAGAAAGATACTGTGCAGACACCTACTTTCTTAAACAAAATCCAGTCTTAATAGACTTTATGACTCAGGATTTCAGTTGTTATCTCTTGATGACAATGAAGCTTAATGAAGCAAATAGGGAGTATGTACTTTGAGTAAATGAAACAGCATTTACATCAGCATTTGTAAAATTGGACTGAGTTAACTCCATGTTCACCATTCCCTAAATATTACAGTTTTGTTACAGTGTCCATTCTGTGACACATTTGGTTAATATTTTGATTCAATCCTATCTAATAAAAGATATGTGCATGGAAATTAAGACTGTTAATAAAATTATATACATGCTCAATTTATATACAGAGGTTATGATCTAACCTACAGATACAATTTGAGAAAAGCTGTAAAGGTACCTACCAACCAGGCACCAGGTTATATATTTAATGCACAATAATTTAAATGTTAAAAATTATATGCCACTGGAAAACTCTTCAGCAAAGAATATAGAGGAAGGAAGGGGGAAGGAAGTTGAGGAAACCTGTAACTCTTCTATTGTATGGCTCTGAAGCAAAAGTCTCCTCTCTCATTAGCTCACCTCTGGCTAGTGATCGCTGTCCTGTTCCATCTGGCACAGCCAGACAATGTGTATCTGCACTTAAGTAAGAGGTTTGGGATCCACCATTGGGTTCGGAAAGCTGGACTTCCTGGCTTTCTGCTGCATCTCCACAGACCACTTCTGGCGCTTCGTCAGAATGGATCTGCACGCAGAACGTTAAAGGCTGATCACCCTCTTCCGTGGCAGAGCTGTTCACCAGGTCAAGCCAGGACTGCCTCTCAGAATAAACCACTTTGGATGTCAAGGAAGACGATGATTCTTGGGAATTGAAAGTGCTTTCAGGAGAGGAGAGAGAACAAGATGCTTCACTTGACAGAGTTGAGGTGAATGATGACTTCTGCTGATCCTCCTTTCCAGAAACAAAAGCGGGGGGAGGGGGGGGGGGAGGTAGAGAAAAGAAAAATTATTTACAAATTACTCCTGTTTCTAGGTTCTACTTGATATATAGATATGCAGCTGAAATGCTGAATGACCAAAAATTGATGTAATCTGGTTATTCATCCAAACAAGCCTGTGGTGTGGCAATCAATTTCCTACAGAGCAGTAACTTCAGAAATCAAGTCACCAGGAAGCCAAAGGCAAAAGAGCTATAAACCTGACAATGCCTAGAAACAAAGACCAAAAAAAAAATTATGCTGAATGTAGCCTTCTGTGGTAGGTTTCACACTCACCTTCTTTCTTTAATTTGCCTTCAATTTATTGGCCGAATCAAGAGTGAAGAAGAAAAACTCCAAATTAGCCATTGAACATGAAGCACTCAACAGTTCCACCTATGCAATAACCAGATATAGACAAAAGGGGTCCCAAGAGCTGAAGTACTGTATTTTTCCTAGTCCATTGAAGGGATAATCATTCATCAGGGCAAGAAGGCTTAGCAGAAACTACCAGAAAATGTGATGAGATCATCATGATATGAAAGCTAGATTTGCTGTTGCAGAAATTTATTCCTTCTGCATATCATTTCCAGCTGGCCAATGCCAGCATCAAAATGCCAGACTTGATGGACCACAATTCTGGTAAGTTTCTGTCCTCAATATTTATGTAGAATAGATTTGAGTAAGGATTAAAGCAGATGATAACTAGACTGAAAATATTGAAACTTACTGAGAAGGTGTTGCTAGGGAACCCTAGAAAAGCTGAAAACACAGTAAAGGGGCTAGCCTGGAATACCTATTTATAAAGTAAACCAGAAATAAGTTTTATTCAAATAAACCAAACCAAGAGTAACAATTTTTTTTAATAATTTTAAACTCCTCAATTCAGTGTTGTATACTGTAATGTATACTACTTCCTTCTTCTATTAAAAACAGCAAAGCCTTCCTGTGCTTCCAATATAGCTGCATCATGTAACAAGTAGTCAATTCAGAGGGTGAGGAGGACCTATATCAGACTGTGGGAACTATTTGTTTATAGCAGCTTCTTCACTTTTTTTAAATTTTCGAAGCCATTCATAGTATCATAGAATTGTCAAGGTTAGAAGAGACTCTCAAGTTCATCCAGTCCAGCCAAGCACCCAGCACTTCCACTGCAACCCCTAAACCATATAATCCAACACTAGATTCTAATCCCTCTTGAACACTTCCAGGGGTGGTGACTTCACCACCTCCCTGGGCAACCTATTCCAATCCCTGACCACCCTCATGGTGAAAAAAATTTGTCTTATATCTAATCTGAATATGTCCTGTCCCAACTAAAGGCCATTTCCTACAGTCCTGTCACTGTAGACACAGCCCCCACTTGGCTACAACCTCCTTTCAGGGAATGGTAGAGGGCAATGAGGTCTCCCCTGAGCCTCCTCTTCTTGAGACTGAACAAACTCAGCTCTCTCAGCCATTCCTCATAAGGGATGTTTTCTGGTCCTTTCATGATTCTTATAAGACTGTGCCAAACATTGCAGGACCCAGACGTTTATATTCACCTATGAAAAGTACAGCACTGTGTTTCAGGGGTATTTTTGTCTCTAAAACAGAAACCTTCACATATGCAAACTCAAGCAAAGGACAAGGAGATGCTGTAGTAAACTAGAAGTGCTAAAAATGCCCTTGGGAACACAGGTGATATGAAGCATTTCATCTAAGAACTTCCATCACAAATTTTTGAAGCATTTATAGAGTCAAGCAGAACAACAAAACAGTAAGAGCTCTTGCCCACATGTTGTAGATGGTCTAATTTCAGTTGTTCAAAGCTGTAAAAGGAAGATATTAGATCTCACCTCTATTTTTCTGGCATTTGTCTATACAAAAAAAAAAAAAAAAAGTGTTATTGAAATGAAGACTGTGCCTTACTGAGAGGAATATGTTTTTATTTTCATTTTCATTGTGTGTTAATTAAAAAATATGAGTGAGAATAAATATGACTGCCAGAAGGTATTTCTTTTTGTCTACATATGTGTTGTATTTTGTTTTTTCTTTGGCATGACAAATGTTTACCTAACTTATTTGAGTGACTCCTCTGGAAGTTTTGCAATCATCCATATAATAAATTTCCATTTGGGGATGTTTTAAAAAGCAGATCATAAGGATTTAACTGGAGATTAATGAGTCTCTAGGTATTTTTTAGAGAAAAGTTATGAACATGAAACTCTTCAACTGCTTTTTTGGCCACTGCTGCAATCTATTGTCTTAACATATCTGCTGATTTTTTAATTGTGTATGCAGCCACACATGTACAAACTAATGTAGGTGGTCAGTTTAACTTTTGTCCTACAGATGTAATAATTTACTTGTTCCTCACATTTTTCCTCCACAGTACCCAAACTCATGCATACACATGGAACCTCATGATCACTACTTTTTTGTTCTGAAAATTTCAAAATTATTTGAGTCAGCAGAGACTAGAACAGCAAGTTCAAACTTAGTGTTAGAAGCACAGCAAAGTGTTTGCTACTCTAAAATGTAAGAGAGCTTACACCTGGGTTTCTATTAGTTTCTAGAATAATAGTTTTTGGTTTGGAGTTGACATGAAGAAGTTTGGAGGCCTTTCAGCTTAAAATATTAAAAATAAATTAACTCCAGTCAATGCCTGTGGCATTATTGACACTAAGCTGAGTTGACAAGTGTCATTTCCAGTAACACTTTGAGAAAATTGAAGTAGGCCAAGTGCTGCACCCACAGAATATGAACCCAAATCTACCACATTTTTGAGATTTCACAGCTTGGTTCAAGAACTCTGCAACTAAGAAACAGACAGACAAACCAGCCTTCTCGGAGACAACCACAGACTATGAACCTAGAATTGAGATTTTAGCAGATGTACTTTCCCAATCATTCCAGAGATTTTCTTGTTCCAGCCCTTGCCCAGAAGTGAAAGGGGCATTAAATATGGTATTTAAAAGAAGACTCTGACTTGCAGTCAAACAGAGCTGTTCCCACTCACTATGTAAGCAAGCTGAGTATGAGGCAGACCTACAGAAAATGGAGCTTATTCCAGTGGCAGTTCTGGGGTGAAGAGATGGCACCTTTGCTCAGGAGACACTAACCTTAGTCCATAAGGGAGGGGATTTTAAGGGATAGGAAGAATCAGGAAATCAGCTGACAAAGGCAAAGGCTAAAGAGAAGATACCCTTTAAGGGAAAGCTTGAGAAATCAGGATCCCTCAGCATCTGCACCACTGCCTGCATCCCACATGTCCCTGCCTGACAAAATGTGGAGGCCAGCTCTCAAAAGGAGCATATGGGAAGGAGACAACCGGAGATGGCCCCTGCAGCAACAGACCAACAGGCAGCAGGAAACCAGAAAAACAGAAAACTAAAACCAGCACCTGTTTAAAACCCATCATCTGGAAAAACGCAGGCATTGACTCAGAGGCGAGCAGACATAATACACATCTACACCTCCTAAAGGCAGGCCACTGAGGTATAAAATTCAAGACTGATGCACTGCCCTGAATAACTGTGGGAGACATCTTGCCAAAGTTCTCTGCTCTGATATTTATAGCCACTCAGTCACATTTAACTTTCACTTAATACAGGCAACAAGGAATCATATTCTACAGCAGTGAACGCCTCACACCCCTGCGTGCCAGGCAGATTTATTCTAGTGATAAACGTCAAACATTTTGGGAGAGGAAGTGAAGACTGATTTATCTGACTGGAAGTGAGGGGGGTGAGTGGGTGTCCATGTGACATGTGCTCCCAGCTTTATGTGAGCTAATTAGAGATTGCCAGACAGGCAACCCTGTCCACGACATCTCCTTTTATTAATGCCTATGTTTGCACAAGCTTCTTTAGCTCATCTGTATATTTCAGATTTGCTCCTGCTTTGCTGCTCCTGTGCCCACCCCAGCTACTGGGTGTCATTTCAACGTGCCACAAGGAACTTGAACCACAACAGTGAGGCAGCAGACACTTCCCTTCCATGAAACGCCAGGAGAATATTTAGTACTAAGTATATTACTGCACAGCTCTCAGTGTTAACTTTCAGGTAGCTAAGGGAAAGGCTTGAATCATGATTCCTTATTACCAACCCAAACCAGAGCACTCATTTTGAAACACAGAATTAAGTAAATTTGACTTTCCATTTTAATGGGAAAAATTTTTAAAAATTTAAAATGTGGTGACAAAAGATGCTCATAAAGATGCTCTATTGTTTCCAAACCATGATATGAACAATCTTTTTACTTCAAAATTGCAGCCAAATCCCCAATGCCTATTACTAGATCCAGGAAAACTTACTGGTTACAGAGATTAAGGGATTGCCTCTGCTACTTGCAACAGTTCTTCCTGACTTCTTCTACAAATTAAACTTTTCTTTTAAAGGCTGAAAAGAGAGGAAAAAACCCACCCCAAACCTAATAGTGAAACTACCTGTCATATCACATTAACAACTTTTCTCTCTTTATTTTAAAAAAATATAAATGAAATTTTTTTTTCTTAATTAAAAGATTTTTTTTTTTAATCCATTTAAATCACATGTAAGGGCAATGAAATCACTGGGAAAAACAATGATACAGAAACAAGATTAATAGGGCAAGAAGTAGATAATAATTAGGCAAACCAATTTGATTAGATTCATGAGGGTTCATAGTGCTTATTTTAATTTATGAAATGAAGTGAGACAGGAAGGAATATTCTGGGACAATATGCTACATAGATTTTGGAAGAATGCCTATTATCTTTTTTCATAGTCTATTTTTCAGAGGTAGAAGAAGAAAACCATATTCTTATCTCTGTGTGAAAAGCCCTTTCCCCTCACTTCACTGCTGCAGAAGCAGCTTTAAATTCAGCAATTGTAAAAACAGCTCACTCAAATAAATAAATATTAAGCTGTTTGATATGCTACCAAGGTCAAAAAAAGAGAGAGGTTTCAGGATGGACTTTTTTTAAAAAGAGAGAACAGTATGAAAAAAAACAGCTTATAGCAGTGTGTTAAAAATCTTGTAATGAAAAGACACAGTTTGTGTATGAGATAGAAAGACAGCTTCCTTTCTCCAGCAAGATAAATAGGAAGGAGCTGATCTTTTACAGTGCAAAGCTCCCTGTGGTGCAGGATGTGCCAGCTGTGTGCTCTGCCGTGGGGCAGGCAGTCTGTGCATGAACGTTTCACAGGAACGCAGCCTGGACATTTCCAGAGGATGTTTTAGGTTATTCCTAGAGGTCCACCACCTCGGGAGGGTTTTGTTTCAACCTGCCTGCAACAAGAAACAAGGAATAACTGGAACACTTACCGAAGGAGGAGGTGGGGTCTGGACTGCGTAGGGTGGAGGTGGCGTGTCTGTTATTTCTGGATCATCATGCTCACTTTCACTGTAGCACTCTGAGGTAGACATGGAAAATGAGCAAAAATAGAGTTAGACCAAAGTATTATTCTTTGCAGCACTGTGGCAATCAAAGATCACCAAATAGGATGTTCTGGATTTAAGACTACACTTTACCAAGTTGGTGTCTCCTAATCTGCTTGTGGTAATGCAGGAGAGCTGTTGCAAGTAGCAGAGGCAATCCCTTAATCCCTGTAACCACTAAGTTTTCCTGGAGTTAGCAACAGGCACTGGGGCCTTAGCTGCAATTTTGGAATAAACTGATTGTTCATATCATAGTTTGGAAACTATAGAGCAGCCTTGTGAAAGTCTTTTGTCACACATGGTATCTCATATAGACACACCATACAGCATGGCAGTACATACAAAGAGATAACACCAAAAGTAAGCACAGTACTCTAGGACTACCCTACTTATGTCTCTTTTGTTGGGTTGTTTTTGTTTGGTTTCATTTGGGTTTTTTTGTAACAAAATCAAACTTGCAGGAGTTTTAACTCATTGATGCGTGGCAGAGGCAGTTACACAGTTATTTCTTTCAACTCTCTGTGCAGCAGGTGAAAACATTTTCTACAAATTTCTTTAAAGGTGGATTAAATGAAGTGATAATCATTGATAAAATTATACACAGAAAAAGGGAGGCAGAATGTTGCTGGTTCTTATGCCCAGGACCTGGCAACAGTAAACATTGGACAAGATATGGAATAGTTTGGTTTGGGAGGACCCTTTAAAGGTCATATAGTCCAACTTTTCTGCAATGAGCAGGGACACCTTCAACAAGACCAAGCTGCTTGCAGCCTTGTCCAGCCTGATCTTGAATGTTTCCAGGGATGGAACTTCTGCCACATCTCTGGGTCACCTGTTTCAGTGTTCCACTAACCTTTATATCTGGTCTAAACTGGCCCTTTCTTTGTGTAAAGCCACTACCCCTTGTTCAGTATACCCTTCCAAAATGTTTGCCCCCATCTTTCCTATGGGTCCTCTTTGTGCACTGAAATGCCACAAAGATCACTTTTGTTTAAATCTCCCAACATAAATTAACCTTTATAGGAGCAAGTGCTTGCATCCTGCCCTGTGTTAATAAGCACAGAGTGAGGGGAATAAAGTGATAAGAGAGAAGAATTTTGTGCATGAGAGAGAATTTTCCAACATGTTAACAAGGAGAAACTTAAAGACATTCATTTTTTTTTTTTTTCTCCCTGTACTCTTTGCAGAACCGTGGGGTTTTGAGCAGCATAGATGCTCTTCTATTTCCTGGAAATATATGCACATCTAAGCATAAAGAACTGAAACCAGCTAGAATAAGGCCTATATCAAATTCTAAGACTCTGTAAATGCCTTTTTGAGTAACTCACTAAAAAGCTTATGCTTTCTACAGCTCCCCTTTTAGACACACAGAAGAACTGAGAAAGATTCAACAGCTGTTTCTGATACACTAAACAGGCAAATGGCGAGGGGGGTGTGTTAAAATGCACAGAAAGTATCTGAATACACAACAAATGCCATAAAAAGAGTCAATACTTCTGAAGAATTATGGTGTGTGATACAGAGAGGAGAAACTGGTCAGCAGGAACAGAAGTGACTGTGGGTAGTGACAGTGTTTTTATGAAACATAGCAATGTTTCTGTAAGGATGTGTCCACCCAGGCACCAGTGGGTGCTGCACCCACAGTGAAGGCAGCTGCTGGATCACCTGTGACAAAACATGCATGAAACGACAAGGAGGTGTTGACACCAGAATCAGAAGGCCTTTTCCTGAGGGGGAAATGGGTGACTATCCTTAAAAGCTGAAGAAATATTTGCTATATTATGCTATTGCAAAGTTATTAGATAACCTCTTGCAGAGGTTATTGAGTGGAATATTTTATATCTTTTGGACCTTTTTTAATATTAAAATTGGTGGAATAACTCAATTTTGTTGCTTCATAATTCTTGATTAAACCAATACAACCAGTATCACATATTTTTAGTTTAAAAAAATGGGTTTAATGTAAAAATTTTGGTCATTCCCATTTTCCATTGAACCCTTTCCTTCATGAAAATATGGACAATATATTTGCACACTTCCTCCCTGAGTACAAGTATCTTGAAGTTCTTGCTACACAACCTAATAGTCAATATAGCCTTTTATTCTAACATGTTCTGATAAAGTTGGCTTCAAACAGGATATAGGCAGGAAGAATTAGATGGTGTGGAAGTTAACAAGTTTCCTGACAAGAAATAAATGTGAACTGAAAATGAAGAAACTGATGAGACTTGCTGAATTCTCCAGGAATCAGTAGCATCAGTGTTTACCAGCCCCAAAGCTGCTTTTAATGGTAGAGCATAAATGGAGCCAGATTAAATTAATCAATAATGTAATGATATGTCCCAAGCCTGGACACAAACCACAATCTTGAATTTTGTGATAAAGCAGAAGGGATGCAGAGAGGAACACTTCATTGCTTAGGCAAAACTGGCTCATACTACTGCAAATACCAGTTTCTTCTTCGTAAATGACAGCTCCTTCACAAGCTCAGCAACTCCAAAAAGGGCACTGGGTACCAATACTCTAAAAATGGAGACTTAAAAGCCCAGATGATGACACATATTCCTCAGACTCCATTCCTGGTTTGGTAACATAATATTACTCAGAGCACTTCTCATTCTGAACCAGTCCCTCTGCCCAGATTTGTGATTTGAGTGCTGCTACCCTCCCACTAAGGAGTTATATTAGGCCAGTGTGCAAATTAAGACAATAAATTAATTGTTTAGGACTTTTAAAGTTTTTCATTCCATAATGAACTCGAGTTTGGCTCTGAAACAAATTGTAGGCTGCAGAATAGCAGTACCACCCCCTCATCCCCCAGCATTGCATTGTTGAAACCCCGGGACTGGAGGACACAGTAGGGATGGGTCTGCAGAGCACAAGGTATTTCTGAGCCTGCAAGCTGCCATGCTGCAGCACTCCTGTAAAATAACTCACCAGCTCAAAACCCAGAGCAGCACAGCTGTTCCTCTTCACACTTGGTAGGCTTAGCAAGCCAGCAAACTGCCAGAAAGTGGTTACACACCTCTCAAAAGGTCACCTAGTGTCTCTCACAATGTTTCTCATAATTTTTTCTTTTTCTGTGGTTTCTCTGAGCTCAGGCAGTAGGCAAGACCCAAGATGACGGTTTGAAAGAAAGAAAATAGTTGACAAAAATTTGGCCAAGCAAAAAGTATGAAGAACCATAATGAAGCCAGTTAGGAGCATACCTTCCTCATTTTTCCTGTGTGGTGCCTGAGGGTCTACAGCCATTCCCAGCTTACTTAGCCACCTGTGTTTGAAACAGAGGGAACACAGAGTCAGGGACACTCACATGCTTTTCAGACTGAGTTTTCCTCCTTTTCAGTTGTGTTCTACATCTACATCACATCTGTTTTCATTAGCCTAAAGACCAAAAGTCAAAGTTTCTATTTCTTAGATCATCTTCTAGATGATCTAATATAAAATGTAGTTACCTCTATATAATATAATATAATATAATATAATATAATATAATATAATATAATATAATATAATATAATATAATATAATATAATATTTATATATAATATATTTACCTCTATATTAATATTCCCTGTAGTGAATAGAATTAGTTGCCTGGGACATCTTTCCTTGATACTGAAAAAAGGTACTACTGATGACCCAGGAGATGAGTTTGTGTAACCTAAAGAAAGTCTTCATGCTGTAGCACCATGTCAGTGAATTAGTCCAGCTGTTGAGGTGTCATTTTTCACCTGAGATGAAGACAAAGGCATGGGAGCCTCTGAAGATGATGTCAGCTGGCCCTGGCCAAAACTATTGCAGCACAGTCTGCACCACTTGAAACCAAACTTTTTGATCAGAACATATCACGTTTTTCAACTTGCTATGTACTTTTGGTTTTAGTTGGTTTTAGTAAGTCTCACTTCCTGTATTGGTTTATGCTGTAACCGGGGCATTTTTCACTTATCTTCCTGGGTGGCTGCATTTTTCTGGGGTTAGAAACATTCCCTAGTTATACATTTTGTATATTATGTTTGCCTGTAAGTCATTCAGATCTATCCACATTTTAAGTAACTAACAACTGAAAAGGCTCAAGTTTTAAGATTAATATATATATAAAGAAAGTATGAAGGGCAGGAATTCATTACTGGAAAAAAAATATTTTGTTTGAATTTGGTTCTACTAAAGCAACAGGGAATTTGCTAGTAAGATCAGCATCAAACTAACTGCACTTTCAGACTGTAGTATAAGAAGCAGAGACACAAACAAACCAGAAAAACAAAGTTTGATTTCTATAAGAGTGGTCCATTGACTCTTCTGACAGCTAATCCTAATATAATGATTTTTTAAATGAAAATCCACCTTAATGAGGAAAATATTTACTAAAAGTTTCTAGGACTTCATTAATGACATGGGCAGACAGGTCACTAATAACTATAAACAACTGGCCAGCTAAATGCATGTAGCTAGTCAGCATGGTTTTACTTTTCATGTGTGCATGACAATAGCAAATACATGATAAATTAGTGAAACAAATGACTGTGTTAATAAATCCACTGTTGATTTAATAGAGATATATGTAGAGGTATATGCATATATTGATATCTGCGTGAAGAGTTACAAAAAGGTCAGGATTCATCAAGCATTTATGCACACCAGGAACTCAACACACACAAATGCTCCAGTGAGTTCCGTGGAACCATTCACATGTGTATTTGCAGGACTGGAGCCAAGAGAACAGATGCCTTTTAGTCTGTTTCAACATATGCGTGAGTGTGCGTGTACTTTATGTATTAAATGCATTATTTTGTACTTTGCCAAGGAAAACATCATCAGTTGCAACAGTGAGAGGTTAGTACATAGTGCAGGCTGTTCTAACACCAGGCTACCTAGCTTTAAGCCAAAATGAAATTTTATCAACAAGTGGAGTTTGAACAAAATCATTCCAGGGGCATAAGAGCTGAGACACCTGCATAGATTTAAATCACTGACTCACAGGGGATTAAACATTTTTCACATGAAAATTTCCAGCTGGGCTCCAAACTGGCTGTTAGCATTTACTAATATCCTCCATTAGCTCTAATTTTCCTTCACCATATGTCCTTCCATCTCTTCTCTCTTAACTAGGGTTACCCTCTCTACTGAAATACTCCTATCCAGCTGTCCCTCATTCTCAGTCATCCTCATCCTATCTGCCTCAGGATCTTGTAACTCCATTCAAGAGCTCTGGTGGGAAATACAGGAACACCGAAATGGATGATTACCAGAATGCTGCATAATGCTCCAACTTGCAAAGGGCAACAGATTCTTTTCATCTCTATTTACTTGTAAGCATCTGTAGAGTCCAGATTTATTAATACATATATATGTACATACACTACTGTAATATTGTACATTTCTATATCTATAGATCTTTCAGAAGATCACACACATTCTCTCAACCTCTCTCTTTTTCTGTTGTGGTAAATATGAATGAGGTCTCCTGTTTATAGAAGGAATGAGTAGCCTTTGCCCTGTGAAAAATCGTATAAAGATCACCAGCAGAGACATGCTTAAAATCCTGACCTGACTATTGTAGGAGCTCTCTTCCCATTTAAATTGTACTGGTTTTTATCCAGTATTTGGCCATTTAATGTCATAGCATACGGAACAGACTGCAATCTGAAGTAAAAAGGGCAAAGGTATGAGATATATCTAAATCAGCCAAATTTGGGACAGTAGAAAATAGTATCTTTCTGATAGCTCAGTGGTTTCTAAAATGGCAGCATTCATATCCATTTTTACTTCTTCCATTGAGAACTATTTTGTTGTTAATCTTCTGGACATTTGCGGAAAGAAAATTTGGACCTGCCATGATGATAATTCAATGACAGCATAGTTTGATGCTGAAGTTAACCCTAATTTACATAAATGAAACATACCTTTCTATCCCTCTAACCCTCCTTGTTAGCTGATATGATACTCCAAAACTGTTGTATTCTAGTCCTAGATCACTTCTGGGACTTTTCCCTCTCTTTCCTTTCTCCCCTCACTTCTTCCCAAGTGCTGTACTTCTATTGAATCCAAGCACTGCTCTAACAGAAAGAGATTTATACCAGCAAATATTGGGAAGATTAGTATAAAAATTGGGCTAATTATGCAATTTTGATTTCAATCAGAATGAACAAAGAGCAATAGTTTTCTTCCATTTAGTGACCATAAAAATTAGACTCAGTAATTCCCCAAATAACTTTGTCAACGACTGCTTGACAGTGAAAGAATGAACTTTCAAAGGGTGTTCTCAGGCATGAGACAGGATGAAACATGACCAGTCACTCCTACTTACGTGTTCATTTCCAGAACATTTTCTGCCGCAAAATAAAATGTCTTGATCTGTGGGTGGCTGATCTTAATAGCACTTTGGGAAAGAAAATGATAAGAGATATGAAGAAAAATAATTTTCATAAAAATGAAAAAATAATACCTGAATGAATTATTTAAAATATTTATTCACTCCATTGTATTAATCCCGATTAGCTTCTCCATCAATACAGCTCTTTCTTTAAAACAGTAGTCTATTTTTAGCTCATTTCCTAGGCCACACACTATTCAGAGAGTATAAACTACAGGAACTAAAAAGGAAGGAATAAAGAATAAAACAAAGTCTTTCATTATTTCATTACATAATTCTGTTGCCTTCTCATACCTCAAATACTATGTGCAGTTTTGCTTCCTCCAGCTCTGAGATGTAAAGCAAACTTGGAAAGTGTAGGAAGAAAGCACCAGTAGTGACCTAAGACATAGAACAGCCTCTGTGTGCTGTGGTCAATCAGGCTAAGACCCTAAAGCATGGAAAACTGATGGTTGAGGGAAGGGATATGTGACACAATAAAATCACAAGCAGCACACAGTGGATGAACAGTGGATGAACAGTGGGCAAACAGTGACTGACTCTTCTGACTTCTCCATCAGAAGAATGAAGGTTTTGTCTTGTGGGACACAATTAAAATCATGCTACACTTTATAACTTTGAACAGCAACACCTCTCCAAACCTTTAAAGTGTACTCAGAAGCATCTGGAAGTCAGTTCTGCATATGGTGTTTGGAGAGAATATTTTT